CTCGGGCAAACTCTACCGGCAGTCCCTTGATCAGCTGCTCTATGATCATCGGGTCCTTGTCGTCATCAGCCTTGTGCCCCGCCATAGTACTCAGTCGCTGCAAATCGGCAACGTAGGCGTCGGGGGACTCATCCACGCGCATCGTCCGTGAGGTGAATCTGGCGTACGCCTGCGCCTTCGTCAGAGTGAACGACAGTCCCATTTTCGCCAAGACTTTATCTTTGTCTTTCTGATCGCTTGCCGGCATCCGTGAAAATACAAGAAACGCGTCATCCGTCAGGAACAACGGAAAATTCTTCACTTTCTTGTCGTCCGTGTCCCAACCTTGTATGTTTGCAAGCACCAGAAACTTATCCCAAAAACGTCCGAAATCGTCCCCGTTCCCACGGAACGGCTGGAGGAAGTTGTCAAACTTGAGCGACATCTCGCTGGCGTGGCAGGGTTTGCACTCGTCAATACAACACACACGTCCCGGGTTTCGGCACCACGTTGTAACGGAATCACAGCCATTCCGTTCCCCGGGACGCAGGACACAAAGGACAAGACTAGTTTGGTTTACATAATTATTATTGACATTACGGAAATGGAGACAACACTCAAAGGGACGAACAAGAAGACTGACAAAAGGACTCTCGACTACAACATCGCGCATGCTCATATCACACATGCACGCGACTAGACGAGACAGTTTGGGGAATGCCATCACACAGGAAAACAACACATCATTTCACAACAATGCCCATTGCAGCATTTGCCATGAGCTGTTTTCCATCCCACATTTATTGCATCTGCTGGATGATTTTTGGCTGTGTGGGTCTGCCAATTTCCCTCTATGCCGCCAACGTCTTGAGGTTATCCTGGCTGTTTTCAAGTACCTCGGGGTTCCTATTGCAGAAGAGAAAACAGAAGGGCCTACAAATGTCCTCACGTTTCTCGGCATTGAGCTGGACTCCGTCCAAATGATTGCTCGCCTTCCTGATGACAAGCTGGCTGACTTGCGCTCTACGCTTGGCTCCCTCCGAACCCGCCGATCCCTGAAACGCAAGGAGCTAGAACAGTTACTAGGCAAAATCAACTTTGCGAGTCGGGTGATCATCCCAGAATGAACGTTCATGCGCCGCCTGTACGACGCTCTGATGCACACCACCAAGCCGTACCATCATGTCCGCCTGTCGTATGGTTGCCAATTAGACCTGTTGTGGTGGTCACACTTGCTGGAGGGGTGGAAAGGCAAAGCCCTCCTGCTGCAATCCCAAGTAACGGCGGCAGACGATATCTCCATCGAGACCGATGCCTCTGGCTCGATCGGCTACGGTGCACTCTACGGCCCTGAATGGTTCGCATTCTGTTGGCCTCGGCACCTCACGGCACGCTGCATTACATTCAAGGAACTCTACCCGATCTGTGTGGCATGCGCTACCTGGGGCCACAAGTGGAGCCGCATGCGCATCTGTTTCCACTCGGACAACACTGCAGTAGTTGCTGTCGTGGCATCTGGCACCAGCAAGTGTCCTAAGGTGATGGCGCTTCTCCGACAAATTTTCTTCATCTGTGCGAAGGGCAACTTCATGATCACTGCACGCCACATTCCTGGCGTCACCAACGTGCGTGCTGATGCCCTATCCCGCCAGGAGCTCCTCCGGTTCAGCAACCTCCACCCGACAGCCAACCGGAACCCATCTGACCCAAGACGCCTTCCATCCCTTCCTGGGGAGACAGCGTCAGCACCTTGTGCCTCCTCGTGATGCAAGCCTGCCCATCTCTCAGCCGGTAAGCTGTAATACCCGAACTGAGATCTCTGAACACATTGACAGCTCTGCTGTCATTTTCTGTCCCAGCACTCTGCTGTGCCCCAGCTTTCTTTCTTGCCCATTGCCTTATCACACTAGGCAACTATTGCGCAATCTCTGGTGTCGTAGTGGGAATAGGATGCTTTATCAATTTGGGGAGTCAATCTCGCTCACCAGGCTCATCCTGCCAGTGCGGCTCACACAGCCCACCCGGCTCTCAAAAGATGCGACAGAGTTACTCACCTTGCCGCCAACATAAAGATGCGGCCAGGGTCACTCACCCTGCTGCCACTAAAAATAATACTCACTGCGAGCCTGGCAAACAGCGATTGACAAACCACTCCTATCCCCACAACTCAATGCTCTCAATGCTGTGTAGTGTGCATGCAGATGGGTGTGTTAAAGAGATAGTAAAATTATTCTATTAACCCTTTCACTGCCGCTGTCGACTCCAGTCGACAGCCCATTCATGCACTCTGAGTGCCGCTGTCGACTGCAGTCGACCAGCAAGAATGTAGTTCCCAGTGCCACTGTCGACTGCAGTCGACAGGCCGACTGTTGTCGCCACTCACCTGTTCTGTAAATGTTTCAAGACAGCCTCTTGAATGATTCTCGTTTTGACCTTACCTTGTCTGTTTATTCATTCATCTTCCTCTGTCTCTGAGTCACATTGCTGCGAGCGCGCACGTGGAGATGCTCCAGTTTTCAGCCATGTCGTCTGTTCCGTTATTACGAGTGTCCATGCATGCTATTGTTCTACTGACGCTGATAATTCTCTCCTTCTGTCTAGTCGTGTTCTACTCTGCTTCTCTGTCTCTCTTCTATTCTGTTTCTGCTTCGAACGTGTAGTTGTTTGAGCTGCTCTCGTGATAATTTATGTGCATTTTTGAAACCCTTTGTACCCGCGATCATGCGCTTGTACAACTGCGCTGTGCTGTATGAGTATGACTGAGCTATGACTATGAGTCATGCTCGCACTAGCTATGATGCCTTTTGTGTCACGTGTCCGTGTATGTCGTGGCGCAAGCGCGCTGTGCCTTTGCTGGCCTTTTTTTGCTTCCTTTTGCAGTTTTTGGTTTTGGAGTTATGCCGGTTATGGTTGAAGTGTGTTTGCAAGGCCAAGGAGAAATCCAGAACGTCTAGTAATGGTGTGTTGTCCCATTTGCGTTCGGAGAGTGTGCCTGTGCACGTGTATCGGAATTTGAATTCTTGCCTGTAACACCGACTTCGCCCAGTTTGGGCGACTATTGCTGTATATTGCATTGTTGATGATGGTGTGGGAGCTGCTGATACGCAAGGTGGGTCTTTTTGAGTTGGCAATTTTAGTGTTATTGCCATTGTCGATGTTGCTCGCGGTCTGTCACTGGCAAGCTCCACCGCCGCAAGAGCCGACGGCGGAGGATCAGGAGGAGGCAGTGGGACCGGGACCGCAAGCGGCACCACCCCAGCCACCTTGCGTATCAGCAGCTCCCACACCATCATCAACAATGCAATATACAGCAGCCACAACTAATCCACCATCCAAGCCCACTATTGAAAGACCAAGACGATCAACAGCCAACTACAACAGAAGCTACGCACTCAACGGACAAGGGCGCAAGGAGGGGCGTGACAGCAGGGTGATGGCCGAGTCCCGTTCAATGGACCAAGTCAGGCGGGATAACAGAGAGAGCGGAGAGGAAGCGGATGATGGGACGGACGGTGAAGGGAGCAATGAGGCGGAGAGCGACGATTGTAGTGATCGTGAGAGTGCCGGTGAGAATGTTAGTGTTGTGCGTAGGTTTCGTGGTAGCAAGACTTCAGTGTACAATCATCTGTTGGCTAGTCCTGATTGTTGCAATTCGTATTTCGACTCTTCTTTCACTGTGTTGTGCCGTGGTCGTCATGGTTATGGACTACAGTTAAAAGTTTTGGAAGCCATCTGTCAGCGTCTGTATAAGCCTAATTTGTATGTACAAAAGGATAGTATAATTGGGTTGAAATTGTTCAAGTAAAGTGTCATGTTTGGTGCGGCCAAGCTTGGCTGTTAATTTTCTAGGTGTAATGTACTGCTGTTATTTGTTATCACTTTGTCCCTTTCTTTTCCTTGTTCATTTTCAGTTGCAAGTTAAGTTTTAGGACACGCATTCGTTATTGCTCTCGCTTTCATTGATAAAATTCACACTTGTAAATTTCACTGCTGTTGTTCTTAGTGTTATTTCTCTAACTTAGATTTTCTATGATAGTTCAATTTTGTTTTCATTGTCCTTTAGTACAACAAAGATTCCAAAGAAGATCTCAATGCTCTGTCCTCTTGGGAATCTTTAGCATGGTGACGGCAGATTCTTGGCCTTGTCTATTTCCACCATGTATTCTCCCAATACCCCTCCTTGTTGTCTCACTTCCAGCTACCCTCTTCCCAAAGCAGTCGTCACCCTTTATCCATAATTCTTCCTAAAGCTGGCACCTACTTTCGTAAATCAACCCTTTTTTCTTTGAGTGTTGCCTGGAATAAACTTCCTGAAGATATTCGTTCACTCTCTACAACAGCGAAATTTAGTATTGCTGTTCGTCGGTATCATTCGCAATCTATGTCTTCTTTGAAAGGTATTCCTGACCTTTGTGTCTAGGCTAACCACATCTATGATAGTTTTAATAGTTTGTGTATATTTCAGTTATAGTAGTCCGCAATGCTGCTTTTCTAATTCTCATTATGATTAGCATGCAATGTACTACCCGAAGAACTGAATTTACTTCTTTTGTACTCTATAATCTAATGTATCTTCTACCTCTTCTCCCTTACGAACATACTTCCTCATTTTCCATACTTACTTAGGAGACTCCCTTCGATAGGCATCTATTTGCCTCTGGAGGATCCGTGAAATAAAAATCAATCAATCAAAAAAGATTCCTGATGAGTGTTGTACGAAAACTTGTTTGAATCCTCATTTTCTCTACACTATTTCTTCGCATTTTTATCGTTTTATTGCACATTGTCTCCACAGTTTTACATTACATGAATAAAGTGTACACAAATGTCGATCCAGCTTGTATTACTGATTGCGGTTATCAAATAATTTTAATATCTCTTTTTCTTTTAGTGATTGGTGTAGCCCAGAGACCGTTTGGAGAGTGAAGATGTATGGATATAGTGGATGGCTACAGTGGAGTCTTCGCATTGTGCGAGATACTTTACTTGATACATTTTCTTTCTAGACAAGCACAGCTCACTCTTTGGATGAAGACACGCGTTGTTTCATGGTGGCCGCCAACGCCCCGAGTTGCCGGTCGACGACTTGAATTATGGCCTCCTTGCATTTCACTTCACGACTTAGATCATCTTGGTTCTACATGTGCAGAGCAAACACAGACACCCCTCAACACGTGTTACCACAGGAAGTATGTTTTTTTAAACACATTTTGTCACTGCGCGTAGGAACTTAGGAAGAAAGAAAACCATACTTCAGTATTTCCTTTTTTTGCAGACTAAATGTACAGGGTTAAGACTACAACTGACAAGCGTAGTTCATCTAGAAATTGTCCAATTGCATGCACTGCAGTGCTGTTTTTGGATAGCACAAGCCTAGGACAATCAAAACGTTGCCCTTTTGACCGCTACGAGGTCCGAGCGTCCCTTTTTAAGTTGCTCTGCGGCGGGGTTCGCCGCTGCGTGCACCTTCTCTTGTGGAGTTGCTTTTTGCCTTCTTCCTGGACTCTCTTTGCAATCAGAACAAGAAACTGCTCCTCTGAGTTTTGTGTACGTGAGTGAGAGGGAAGTGAGAGGGGAGTGAATGGGGAGTGATTGGGGAGTGAGAGGGGAGTGAGACTCGCATCGGAGGCTCTCAATAACCCGATGACACTTACCATTTTGAGGAGTTCAAGATCCTCGCTCCTCTTGTCAAACTGCTTCTCAAGGCTGTTGAGCATGCTATTGATATGCTGTAGTTGCTTGAGACTTTCGTTCGTATCCCGAAGTTCAGTGTCAGCCTGCCAGCCAGTAAAGAAACGGAAACAGTGCATGCATTAAAACAGCGCCTACTTGGTGATGTCGTCCTCAGCATAATGCGTTCAGTGGGATCATCACAGATGGAGTATGACCCACATTACAATCTGTAACAAATATAAATTGCCTCGTTGGCTGTCCACATGAATGATCTCTTTTGTTCCTATTGCAATGAATGGAGGAATTTGGTCACCCTGGTCACAAGCATTGCAGCATTGTTAATTAATAATACTTCCTCCGTCCAAGCAAAATTTTCGCTTATCTTTACACTTTTTACTGATACATTCCAGGTTCTCAGAATGGCGCCTAACGACTCAGAATGAGTTGAGGAGTTGTTGAACATCAAGAGAAACTCTCTAAGTCGAAACATCTAGAAGTCGTCCTTTGTCATCAGCCGACGCAGCACTTGTCGGGTAGTACTTCGCACCATTTCCAGAAGCGCAAATATTTCGTATCGACACTTTTCAAAGCGCTTCACCTCCTTCATGAGTATAATCGGTCGTGTTTCTTACCAGCCGAAGCGGACGAGCTCAGCGTCGTTTTGCAGGATCGTTCACGTTGACATCAGGCGAATGAGCTGGGTGAGTGACAACCCTGTCATCGAAGCCTTTCTTTTCCCCCTGTTTTGCCCAGTACCGATTCTGGTTCATTTTGCAGTATGTGGGCGAGCGTCGCTGAGTGGCTTTCTCAGCTTGAAGCTGGCGTGCATTTTTTACCGTACACACATCCTGTGCCGGATGCAATTAAACACGCTGGCTTTTCGCAACATGACACCTCTGCTCTGTACTCCAGTGGTACTCTAGCAGCACCCACCGTTTTGTTGACCAGTGACTGACTCCGTGTCTTTTTTACCAGTTCACTCGCGTTCAACGCGCTCTTCTCTAGGTGTTTCTTTACTCTTTGCCGACTTCGCCGACTTGTTTGGAACTGGTACACCTGAACCAGCAGATTTGTGTGATGGTGAAGTGCACAAGATGCAAAAATGGCTGTCAGACACCTGTCATTGGGCTGAAGGAGATAAGCGAAAATTTTGCCTGGGCGGAGGAAGTACAGTATTCCAGGACGTTTTCTTGGTACAATTATGGAACATGGCCAGCAATCGAGGACATCTGAGAGTTGTAATTGTTGTACTCCTCCGAGGTGTGATTTTTGGCGTACTGGGCCAAGCACAAGGAAGCCATCTGCAAAAAAACTGCAGAAAATGGTTGTTGTTTGATCCTTTGGTGTAATCTTTGTTTCTAGTCGAAGCTAGTTGCTGTTTGGAGCAGAAACGCTGAAATTGACTATTTTCTGCATGTACTCATTGTTGCGGATCCGATCAGGAAAGAGCTCTCATTCTCTCACCTCTCTTCTCACTCACGGCTTCTGTTGGAACGTTCTCCATTTGTTAGTGTTTGTCTTTGTCTACCCATATATTACTCAGTACGTCGTAATTTGACACCGCTTGAATATTCTTACCTTGCGCATTTCACCGTTTGCAACGTGGCTCCTCTGCCTCAGTTTCCGTTCTATTTCTCTGACAGGGGCAGCAACCACCCGTCTGGTGGGTGCCAGCATCTCCCGGCAGTCGCGTTGGAACTCTACAATATGTATTGTTCTTCGATGATTAGGAATCTGCCTTTCTAGCTCTTCGCCATCCGAACTATTATTTATTTGTGCTGTTTCTTGCAGCACTCGCTTTTGACCTTTTTGCATATGTCCGCGTGTGCACTGATGACATCATGCATTATTTTCGGTCACGTGTCTCGCTTCGCGCTTGCAGCTTGTCATTCAAAATGCTGGAAGTTGAAACTGCGCTCGCACTCGTCAGATTTCTTTGCTTGCTGTTTTCTTTGCCAGTCGAGCGTGGGGACGCTACGGTGTCATCCTCCTTGGCTGTGCGCCCGGTACGGGGCCGGGTACGTGCGTCCCCAGCTCTCCGTTCTTGGTTCTTTTTTCTCCTTTGATTTTGATGCTTCAATGGAGTTTTGGTAGTTGTTGTTTGTTCGAAGACATGTGTTTCTAAACTGTTTGTGACGAGGGATCTCGCTCGACCCGTGTGTTAGTCTGACGACCTGGGACACGTGCACGTGCACGACACTCATACATGTACTCATGTACTCAGTCATGCAGTCTCACTCGTATTTTAGCTCTTTTTCTGGAATGGATGCTGCTCTGCACCCCTTGGTGAACATTTCCTGCGCTCGTGGAGCAGCTGAAAAGGACCACTGGTATGTCTGGTTCCTGGTTTGAAAGTGGAGAGTCGACTTTTGTGCCTTGAAAAAGGAGTAGAGAGCGATAAAGGTACGTCTGTGGCTTATTTTTGAGTGCTCCTCGTACATTTTTGATCGTGATAGAAATTCTCAGACCAAAGTCAGACCAAAGTCAGCGCGATGATGGCCGTACAGTTTTCTTGTGGATTTTTTAGTTGTTTCATCTCGTATCTATGTCAGTATTGTGATGGTGAAGTGGAGAGGGTGATTTTCTTCCTCTAGGCTTCGTTCGGCCGACTTTGCTTCGTCCTCGTTGAAAAGTGATCCTGAAAAAAAAGGTCGATTCGCAAAATTATGTTGATTTTCAATGTACGTGATGACATGCGATTGCTGGCTATGGGAACCTCATGCTGTGGAATATTGCATGCTTGTCAATAGTGCATGCTTGTTAGAGATTGCATGCTTGTCAGATATTGCATGCTTGTTAGATAATGCATGCTTGTTAGAGATTGCATGCTTGTTAGATATTGCATGAATAAGAGTATTGTCACAAACTAATGGTTCGCACCAAGCATACATACAAGCATACAAGCAATCGATTATACAGTCTTCTTTCTTCTTTCTATCGTGTCTTCTAAAGTATTTTACTTACCTTTTGCGCCATGGTACGCCTACGACGTTCCCATGGTCTTCACGTACGACATACGGTTTTCTAGCCCTTTTTCCTGGAGCTTGTCTCCTCGTGTCGTTTCTGTTTCATTGGTTTTACGTTGTCTAATGATAAGCAACAGTTTGTTTGAGTCTAAGAGAACCCAAGATGCGCTCGCGTTGAGCCAAAGCAGCCTTACAAGATACCATTTTGTAAATTGGTCCTTCGAGCCGGATAGCCGGATTCGAACCAGAGAAGACTAGAGATGGCAGATAGTATTGGTCCGCAGCAGAAGATCGCCAAGGCTAAGGCGAAGACGGAATATACTAATGTCCGCCGTGGGTTGCTGGTGTCCATCGTATCGGAAACCGTGAGTGTCGAGGAGATTAAATATGGGCTACTAATGCTCGAGAACAGGATGAACTCCGTGATGGAGGTTGTTTCAGAGCTGGCAGATATATTTTGCAAGAATCCTACTTATTTAGAGAGTTTGGCAAAGGAGACTGCAGAATTAGAGGTGTCGTACACTGAGGCAGTGACGCAGGCCAGCACTACTTTAGCAAATATCAGCATGAGTAGATACAACAGTGCACACACAAGCGAAATCACGGGGTTGCGATACACCCGTCACCCAGAGAGAGTTCAGGCATATTTGGAATCCATTTCAGCTACAGACAAAATACGGACTGCACAGGAGCAGCTCCAGTGGAGTAGCAGTAGCATGCAAGAATTAGATACATCCAGCACGAGTCGTAGTGTACAGGCCAGTGGCCAGAGTGAACCCAGTACTAGTGGTAGTACCGTACACATTCCCGCATCGGATGCTAACACCGCAGCTACGGAGCTTGTGTTTGTAGGCCAGGATAGTGCATGCACGAATGTAGTCATGTCCATGCCTGATGTATCTGGTATCCCGTCAGCAGCTACAGGGGCCACAGGGCCAGCAGCGCGCGACCTCGACCGGAACAACGTCCCAGCAGAGCAGCGCAAGCAGCAACAACCAGGTGCCGGTGTTGGCGTGAGTACAGATTTGCGTCTGGCTGTGAGCAGTAGTGACACCGGTACCAACCCTCGACAGTCGTCAGTCTCGTCACCGTACGACGTCGGACGTCAACAGATCACGCAGAACACGACGAGCACGAGTACACCAGTCTCGAGTGCTGGTTACACCAACACAACACGAACAAACGACAATCGCACATTCACGATCACAGCTGCAACACCAATGCTGCAATACGGAACAACAACTACACCAACACAACAACACAGCCTCAGTTCAGCTCGTACACTAACTGCGAGTGGTACGTCGTCGAGAGTGAACACGACGAAATTTGCTCAGGGTTTCGGCACCGCGACTGACCCAGCGTCCGCTTATGGTGGTCCAGCAGCATCAGCATCAGCCTCTTTTGGAGCACATTCCCACCTGGCCCCGGCCTCTGCGAGTACGATCCCCTACGGTAGCCGCTTGCCGCTCGACGTACTCGGAGTGCCACAATTACAAGCAGCCCAGACGGGCCAGAGTCAAACCCCGCAATGGACGCAGTCAGATACGGCAGCTAGCCAGTGGCCGCCGCCGTGTAGTACAACGCCTAATTTAGCTGGTTCGACACAGTGGTCACCAGTTCCACCTGCAGCAGTGTCGTCCAACAACGCCGCTTTTGGGGTACAGAGTCTACAGACGCAGTACAATGTCAGCGGTTTGTACCCATCACCAGCTCTACATCCACCAGTCAACGCCGTTTTTGGTGGATCGCCTGCACAGAATGGAAGTGCACTGTACCCAGGCCAACAATCAGCATCCAATTATGGCCCTTATGGCGGAACCCCAAATGGGTATGGATTGACTGGACCAGTACCAGGATTCACACCTGGTCCTTCGCATGCACCGCAAGGCAATCCACCATCAGACGTTTACCGTCATTTAAGAAAGATCAAGATACCAACCTTTGACGGCGACAAAAAGCTATACGACACATGGCGTACGTCTTTCAACGTCTGCGTCGATCAACAGCCTCTGTCACCGGAGCTGAAGCTGTTGCAGCTCAGGCAATATCTGTCCGGTCCACCGTTGAAGACTGTTGAGACGTATGGTTACTCGGCAGCGGCCTACGCAGCAGCACTCCAGCGACTTGACCAAAAGTAC